AAGTGCATGATCACAATAGGATCCGGGTCCCTCCACACGAGGAAGACAGGCTCTGTGTCAGTGTAATCATGTTTCCGACATGTACCACGGGAGAAAAATGTCAAAGAGAGCGCCTGGGAACTGCCGGAAATGGGCGGTGTAAATTTTGCAATGTTTATAGCGAGTATGGTTTGATTGTTTCAGCAATGTTTCAGCAATATCACTGCGGGAGACGCTACGCATCGGCTTCACAAATTGAGAATTGATCCCGTATCTTCACCTTTATCCTCTCCTCCTAACCTCTCCAGACTTGAGCTATATTCAGCATTGTGCTAGATTTAGACAGAAAGGTTATGGAAAGAGCTACAAAGAGCTTATTCCAGAATCATCTGCCTTAGTGAGAATGTTCTAGCATCTGTTTCTTAGGTATATGGTGACACATTTAAATTAATTTGTGCACATGATATTTCAATGTTACAGACATTTTAAAAACGAACCGTGAAACTTAAACCCCTTTGAAATCTTTTAAAAAGCAAATACCCGTGTAGATCGTATAGAAGAGTATTAATACCACATCCAGAACGTGCCGTAGTAACAACGTGTAGAATGCAACACAGTCAGAATAAACTACTCCATTTTAGACTGCATGCAGTTAAACTACCGGACAAAGGAAAGTTATCACCGACTTCACTTGACTAAAAGGAAACAAACACGCTTAGGGATTTATATGACTATTAATTTACAAACAGAAGTCAAAGTGGTCTGTTCAAGTTCCTGTCGGTTCACTGGAGGTGGTGCACGCTGTCTCAGCTGACGATCAAGTTGATCCCAAAGATGTTCAATGGGGTTCATGCCTGGAGAACGCGCTGGCCAAGGCAATACGTTGACGTTAACGTCGTGCAGGTATTCCCGAACAATTCTGGCGGGGTTAGGTGTTGCGTTCTCCTCCTGCAAAATGAATCCTCTTTGCTCTTATCGAATAAAGGGCACCAAAATGGTCTCAACACTTCATCCCTGTATCGCTGGGCATTCAGAATTCCTTGGATGATAACCAGTCTTTTTGCTCTCTGGACACAAATGCCGCCCCATACCATGACGCCCCCTCCATCGAACGGATAAACTTCTTGAACGCAGTTTGGCGCCTGTCGCTTTCCACTACGTCGATAAAATCGAACTCTGCCATCGTTAGGGAACCGACTGACTTGGCTTTTATCTGTAAAGAGCACTCTCTCCCAGTGACGTCGCTGCCATCAACGTGCAGTCTGCGTTGACGGTGTAGACGGATCAAGGCCACGGAAGGGCCGGTAGGCTCGTATACCAGCCAAACCAAGTCGTGGAAGGACTGTTCGTCTGCTGGCGTGCCCTAGTGCTGTCGCCGTCACGAATCTGTTCCACGGGTGGATCTGCCGGATGTAGCGGTCTTCGGCCGGTGTTGTGACTCTTGGTCTTCCCAACCCTGGGCGGTCTTGGGTCTGGCTGTTTGCTTGTAGCGGTTTATCAGTTTGCTGATGTCGCCTTTCCTGCAGTGGAAGGTTGTTGGCAACTTGCCAGGTGACGTTGTGAAGACCCTATTTTGGCCATACCGATCGCCCTGTCCGTTCCGCTTGAATATGTCGTGGCATATCCGTGGTGTTTTTTTGTTACTACATGCATGCTCTGCCCAACATCAGCATTTATGCCTCAAACATTTGGAACAATGTCCCACAATTACGTTTTTCACGGTTTGAAATATGCACGATTCGTGCGAATTTTCGTACAGATGAAATGTTATGGGGGACCATGTTACGTTTTGGAGAATGTTTTTTGCTTTGGTTCAAACCTTTACCAACTGTTCTGTTTTTATACAATTACTTTAAAAGTGATAACTTTCTTTTGCCCGGTAGTTTAATAGCAACCAGACAGGACATCGGAGGTGAACACAACACGAAGGTCAACCATGAGATGGAGTAAACAATCCTGACTATCGGGGCTGTACATACAAGATAAGGTCGGCGTTCCTCCATGGACGCGGCCCCAAGATTATATCAATGAAGCGAGCAGGATAATGGGATCTGATATGAAATTGTGCATTTGTATACAGAACCTTCACAATACGACCACAACCAGACAGCAACAACAACGATTGACACATCACTTTGTTCCTTCGGCGGTAGGGTAGTCTAGTGGTTAAAGCGTTCGCTCGTCACGACGAAATCCCGGGTTCGATTCCACAAATGGGTACAATGTGTGAAGGCCATTTCGTGGTATTGCTGGAATATACGTAAAACTAACTCACTCACTTTGCGCCTGAATGATTCTTGTTAGGCTTAGTTTTCAGCAGCAGTTTTTGTAAGAGTCAACTCATGGTATCGGTTGGTGAGACTCGCTGACTAAAGGATCTATATCATGTTTTCTTATTTGAGTAGATGCATTCTCATGATGTCAGTTACTGATAGTCTGGTCCATACACGATTAAATGACAACAGCTGCTTTAAGCAGTTGCAACACACATAATATTACAGTGCCATTTATTTATTTATTTATTTATTTATTTATTTATTTATTTATTTATTTATTTATTTATTTATTTATTTATTTATTTATTTATTTATTTATTTATTTATTTATTTGAGCTATCGTTCTATTCATTCATACATTTATTTATTTAATTATTTATTTATTTATTTATTTATTTATTTATTTATTTATTTGAGTTATCGTTATTGTGCTGATAACTCTAAACGCATTGTCATTGAAGTAAGCATAACTCTCAAAGCTCAATGTTTATGTTATACCGGACTCCGTTTTAAAGCCTCGGTTTTCACAAGAACCTCTCCATACCAACATACCACAACATCAGAAATAATTGCATTATCAGGAAAACATATCAATCCACGCGTGACTGCATTTCTCATTCAGGCTTTCATTGTATCTCGATTGTATGAGTACAATGCTCTACCGTATGGGTTACCCAAATACAAGATTCAGCATGTTCAAAACGACCCTACCACAGTGGTGACGCGTGCAAAACGTACAAACATATTACATCCGTAGTAATGCAACCACACTGGTTTCCTATAGCAAAGGGCATCAAATTAAACATACCTTTGGTAATGTGCAAAGCTTTTGTTTGTTTCTTTGTTGTTTACGCAACAAGTCAACAAGCCTGACCCCCCGATCCTGTAAGTCGCCTCTTACGACAAGCACGGGTTGCTGGAGACCAATTCTAACCTGGATCTTCAAGGGACCGAATACAAAGCACTTGATGACATTGATCAGGGCGGCGGGGTAGCCTAATGGTTAAGATGTCCGCTCGTCACGCAGAAGACCCGGGTTCGATTCCCCATATGGGTACTATGTGTGAAGCCGTGATATAGATGGAATATTGGTGTAAGCGGTGTAAAACCATACTCACTCAATCACTCTGAACTGATACAGTATTTATTACCAGTAAGATCACCCAAGTCTGATGCCAGTCACCTCCTGTGTGTGCACCAAACCAAATCTAGATGATCTATGCAAAGGCCGATCCTTACGACAAGCACGGGTTGCTGGAGACCAATTCTAACCTGGATCTTCAAGGGACCGAATACAAAGCACTTGATGACATTGATCAGGGCGGCGGGGTAGCCTAATGGTTAAGATGTCCGCTCGTCACGCAGAAGACCCGGGTTCGATTCCCCATATGGGTACTATGTGTGAAGCCGTGATATAGATGGAATATTGGTGTAAGCGGTGTAAAACCATACTCACTCAATCACTCTGAACTGATACAGTATTTATTACCAGTAAGATCACCCAAGTCTGATGCCAGTCACCTCCTGTGTGTGCACCAAACCAAATCTAGATGATCTATGCAAAGGCCGATCCAACGTCTTTGGAGGACAGTTTCGTCAACATGAGAAGCGCCATGATATCAACCATATCAAGGGAAAGTTAAAAATCATTGTTCCAATCGCCTACAGCTCTAACATACATTCATTTACCATTACCATGTGAAAGCGCCTCTTGAGCAGATCCAAACTGGAAATTTGTGTTATATGAATTTATAGTGTTACTATTAATCAATATTCTATTGATGATCATCAGTTAAATTCTATTCATGACCCTCCAACTACTAGTATGTCATAGCTGTCGACCCTCCTCCTATTACCTAACTGTCGACCCTCCGCTAATGCCTAACTGTCGAACTTCCGGTAATGTCTATCTGGTTAATCACTTCACCTACAACGGCTGACATGGCGAGGCACTATTTATAGAGGCTAATGAAGGGACAAGCTGAAAGTCACCGCAGATGACAATATAATGATATGAGTGGGAGATTGTAGTGGCGGGGGATCAGTGGGAGGGGGAGATACGAGACATCATCCGGGCTATATCTATGTCAGATGCAGCTACACTTCCCTCTCCGTCTCGCTGCCTACGACGGATGTCGCTGCTGCTGTTTCCCACCGATAGCCACGTGCGCGTCACAGATGCCGCTACTAGCTGTAAACATCTGCAACGTAAGGAAAATGATATTTTAGTTAAGATTTATTACTATGGGAATCGTCCGACAACAATCTCGTCCGACAACAAGAATCCGTAGCTGCGCATATAAATTGATCCATTTACTCTAAGGCATTCAGCGACATAGGATACAGTGAATCAATTATTTATTAAGAGAGAGCTCTCTCTCCCGTGAAAATATTTTCCCGAAGAGCATTTCCCCCTAACTTCTGGACTTCTCTAGCCCTGGGTCCGCCCATTCTCCTTCGGCATCAGGTCACGTGACCTCCCATGAGATTGCGCGTGAGGAATCGGCTTCAGTGCGCTTCCGCATCGGCGCGAGGTCAATTAGTTTTCATTATCGCTCAGGACTTTAATTGGATTTTTACTGTGTTTTCTTGGATTAGACTGTGGAAGCTGTTTGGATTTCCCCAACCTGTTGAATGTAAGTCCGAATTTGACTTTGGTCGTACTCGATACCCTGTCTGAACTTTCTACCTGGGGGGACAAGTTTTGAACTTTGACTGTGTCCAGTCTAGATTCTAATTCCTAAAATGGCGACCTCGGGCAACGACGGCGCCAGCTCCAGCAATTTGCTTGAAAAGTTACATTCCGAATTTTTGCGGGGGAAATCTTCCACTGTTGATGCTAGCAAATCCAAGGATTGCAGCAAAAGCCCATATACACTGCCTACTGACGAAACTGATTGTGAAGAAATTGAAACTCGGCCAAGCCCTGCACGGGACAGCCACATTGTGCACAACCCGCGCGATCGGGGTGCTTCAAGTACTGCAAGTACTTCCAAGGATGACACCGAGAGTGCATCGAGTGATGAACATATGAACTTGCTAAAATCTATGCAAGCAACCTTGAGTGCTGTAGTTTCGAAGGTTGACTTTATGCAAAATCAGTGGTTTGAGGAAGGTGACGATGGAATGGACACAGAAACAGGAGACAATTTAGCTATTAATAGATCGCCCAGGGACCAAGTACCCTATTTGCAAACCCCATCGGCAGCAAGCGGTGGCCAGTCGTGTCACGTGACACTGGCGGATGCAGAGCACGGAAGAGGAGTTACCTCCCCTGGCGCTGTCATGGCCGCCCCCATGCCATCAACATCCGAGAGCGTCGAAACTCCTTCTGCCATTCGGAATCTGGCCGAGAAGTTCAGGCCAACTGAGAAGGTTAGCCCCCCTGTCGACAAAGGGGTTGCGGAGCTTATTGACGGCCTCATGACAACAAGGCTGGAGGAGAAACAAAGACAGGATCTCGGCGAGAAATATAACCCACCATCAAACATGACAAAATTACAGCCTCCTAGAGTTAACCCCGGAATTTGGCAGATTATGGACACAGACAGCAAATCAAGGGATGTAAAATCCCAGAAAATACAGGAATCTCTCTGCCGTGGACTAGTTCCCATCACCCTGGCTATCAATAGCCTGAATGCGTTAAGCTGTGAGTCTGAACAAATCACACAGATTTTGAGTCAGGTGGTCGATGGTGTGGCCCTTATTGCCAGTGCCAGTTATGAACTGAGCATTCGTAGGCGTGACCTTATTCGTCAGGACATTACTCCAGAATTCAAATCTCTTTGTGCACATGGTATGCCAGTGTCAGACTTTCTATTTGGGGACAACCTCAATGAGAAAATAAAGGAACTCTCCGAGACAAATAAGCTTATGCTCAGAGTTGGCCAGCGGTCCTTCGCCCCTAGGGGTCGTGGAGCAGGCCGTGGAGGTTTCCGATTCAGAGGACGTGGTGGCCGTTTTTTAGACCAGCGCTCATTCCGCCAGTCTTACCCCAAGCACCCACCTCATTACCCGACATACAGGCCCCAGTCTCAGAACAACCGCAGGGCTCCATTGAGGGGGGTGAAGCGACGCTTTCAGGAGTAGGACAGGTTAGTGACACTGTTTTTCCTATTGCAGGTAGGCTAAAGGAATTCATTGATGAATGGGAACGATTGACATTTGATGAACACATTCTCCAGATTGTGAGAGGATGTAAGATTGACCTTGTAGATCTACCATGCCAGAATTCTGTCCGAGAAACCAAGCTAAATGCTACACAAGGTGCATATTTGGATAAAGAGGTTAAGACCATGCTAGACAAAGGTATCATAGAAGCAGTTCCTTCTACTCAGGAGGGTTATGTGAGCACTGTGTTCCTAGTGCCAAAATCAGATGGCACTTATAGACTCATCCTGAATTTGAAAAAACTGAACAACTGTGTTGAAAAACTCCATTTCAAGATGGAACACCTTAAATCTGCTCTTTGTCTCATTTCTCCGGGCTGTTTTATGGGCTCTATTGACTTAAAAGAAGCCTATTATGCTGTCAGTATTGCAGAGGAGGATAGAAAATATTTGCGTTTCATTTGGAGAGGTAGAACATATCAATATCAATGTCTTCCCTTCGGCTTGACGTCAGCTCCTCGCATATTCACAAAACTTTTGAAACCTGTGTTCAGTACTTTGAGGGAGATGGGTTACTTATCAGTTATCTATATTGATGACTCTTATCTCCAGGGACAAACATTGGCATTATGCAAGGAGAATATTCATGCTACGAAACATCAGCTTGAGAAACTAGGATTTCTGATTAACTATGAGAAGTCAGTGTTACAGCCCTCTCAGAAAATTGTGTTCTTAGGTTTCATACTGAACTCTAAAGAAATGACAATCTCTCTCACAGACAAGAAAGTCCAAAACTTTCATCTTCATTACCGTAACTTGATTGAGAAAGACTTTGTGACAATTCGGCAGTTGGCGAAAATCACTGGAATTGTTGTTTCTTATACTATAGCAGTGCCATTCGGCAGTTTGTTTGTGAAACGGCTGGAAATTGAGAAAACGTGTGCCTTGAAAGCGGCGAGAGGTGATTTTGAAGCTCACACCTCCCTTTCTGAGAGTGTAAGACAAGATTTAAAATGGTGGGAGGACAATGTTGACTCTAGTGGTGCTCCGATTCGCAGAGAGGAGCCAACACACACACTGACTACTGATGCCTCTGGTCAGGGCTGGGGGGCAGTGTTAGATCATGAACAGCAAAAAACTGGAGGTAGATGGTCTCTGGAGGAGCTGGAATACAAAACCAATATCAACTATCTGGAGCTAAAAGCTATCCTCCTAGGCCTGAAGTGTTTTGTAGACAATTTATCAGGGCGTCATATACGCCTTCGCATTGACAATGCTACTGCTGTCTCCTACATTAATCATATGGGAGGTACCAGATCCGAGCTGTGTAACAGTATGGCCCGTGAAATTTGGCTGTTGGCGCAGCATTATGGTATGTGGTTGTCAGCAGTCCACCTTCCAGGTACCCAGAATTGGGTAGCTGATAAAGAGAGTAGAGTGTTCGAGGACTCAACTGAATGGATGTTAAAGCGTGAAATTTTTCAATCAATTACCAGTAACTTTTTTGTGCCTACAGTTGATTTGTTCGCTTCTCGTTTGAACAGTCAGGTACCTGTCTATTTTTCATGGAAGCCAGATCCATATGCTTATGCCTTTGATGCTTTGATGTATAGTTGGACAGAATATAAATTCTATGCATTCCCACCCTTCAGCCTACTGGACAGAGTCATGGAGAAAGTCAGATCAGACCGGGCGGAGGGCTTGGTGATCCTACCAAGGTGGCCAACGCAGAACTGGTACCCAGCGATGCTGAGAATGTGTGTGTCTCCACCCCGTCTACTGCCGAGGGGGAGGGGTACACTTGTGCTTCCATTCAAGGAGTTGTCGGTTCACCCTCTCCACAGGAAACTTCAGCTGATGGTTTGCCATTTGTCAGGCAGTGTCTACAGACTCAGGGACTGTCAGATGACACCATATCCATTGTCATGCATTCATGGAGGGGAGCACCCAAAACAGTACAGAACATACCTAGTAAAGTATCGTGATTTCTGTAAAAGGGAGGGTAGAGACCCCTTTGTACCTAGTGTTAATACAGTGTTGGATTTTCTGAGAAAGCTCTATGACTCTGGTTGTGGATATAGTGCCATTAACACGGCTCGCAGTGCTTTATCTGCCATATTACAATTTCCATCAGGCTTACCTATAGGTCAGCATCCCTTAGTAAAGAGATTTTTGAAGGGCATTTTTAATCTTAGGCCAGCCTTACCAAGATATCAACATACTTGGGATGTTGGTGTAGTGTTAGATTATCTAGTTAGCTTAGGTAGCAATGATCAGTTGTCCCTAAAGACCCTCACGTTTAAACTTACTATGTTATTAGCCCTAGTTAGCGGTCAGAGGGTACAGTCTCTACAGTTACTGAGCCTGGATAACATGAAGAGATCCAGAGACAAAATTGTGTTTGTTATCCCTAGTTTAGTCAAACAGTCTAGACCAGGTGTTCATGTGAAACCTGTAGAGATCTGCCAGTTTGAGAAGGAACCTCTGTGTGGGGTTCGCTGTTTGGATGAATATATTTCAAGAACAGAGACCCTAAGGCAGCATTATCAGTTGCTTGTTAGTTTCATTGCCCTTACAGAGCAGTGTCCAGAGACACAATCTCCAGATGGCTGAAGATTTTACTGAGTGCAGCTGGAATAGACACTGAGATGTTTAAAGGACACAGCACACGGGCTGCTTCTACCAGTGCAGCTCACAGTGCGGGTTTGTCTATGCAGACTATAATGAGTGCAGCTGGTTGGTCTTCTGCGGGTGTGTTCGCCAAGTTTTACAACAAGCCTGTGGACACTCAGCTGTCTTTTTGGTGAAGCAGTACTTGCCTCAACTGAGTGACATTTGTTCCCAATGTTGAACACATTTCCTGATATTAATTCCCTAAAAGTTACAGATGTCATGACAGGATTGCATTGATGTGACTGTTTTCTCTATTTTGATTCTTATTGATGGAAACAATACTGATACATCCTTGTATTACTGAGTCAATTTGTTTAATTAAAGCCATTAATCCTTTTGTATGGTTTTCCTTGCTCTGAAGAACTGCTTTGAATTCTCATGGGAGGTCACGTGACCTGATGCCGAAGGAGAATTGAGAAATTAAACGAGACTTACCTGTAAGTTGAAGTTTGATCGAGATTCTCCGAGGCATCAGGGAACAAGTGAGCTCACATGCCACTCCCACCCTCCCAGTATATACTCAGTGGTTTCTAGTTGGTTCAGTTTCTACAGAGCAAAGTACTTTAAAGACTGAAGCCGATTCCTCACGCGCAATCTCATGTGAGCTCACTTGTTCCCTGATGCCTCGGAGAATCTCGATCAAACTTCAACTTACAGGTAAGTCTCGTTTAACATCGTTGTCTGTACGCCTTTGCCCTGCAATCTGAGCTGTCCAGATGAAATCTCGACTCGTCAGTGAACAAAACACCGTCCCAATCCTGTCTCATGTGCCCTAGATGCTGTCTGCACCAGACATGACGTGCATGCCGGTGACGTTGGAACAAAACTGGACGTATTGCAGGCATTCGGGTTCTGATGTCGATGTCTGGAGTCGATTCCAATGTGGTTGTCTTTCTGACGTGACGTCACGCGTGAATGGCCGATCCGAGGCAAATCTCTCGTGTTGCCATAATGTTGAAAACGTCTCCATAGAGATGAGATCGTGATCGATGGACATTTCATTTTGGGCCATTAATGTATACCCACAGCGCGGAGACGCTGGTTTTTTGTAAGCCGTGGCATGACGTACGCGCAGTTTAGGTTGAAATTAACGTGTTCTCCACAAAATTCAAAGATTAGAGAATAATCAATCGTTTTTTTCAATTTTCAATATCAGGTGTGCGAACTTAAGGTGTCAAAAAGCATGCAAAAAGTGAGTAAGTTCATTGTGCACAAAATGTACATGCCACGCGCGATGCGTGACATCAAATTCCGTGCAAAGTGCTTTGCTACATATATATTTAGAGTTATTTTTATAACTTTTCAAATACATGTAACTTTTATTTTATGCAATTTTATGTTATGCACAGTTACTTTTTTCCGTTAGTATATTATAAATATGTTTGTAAAGGTCTTCATAAAGCATTTCGTTACATGTTTAAGTACAGATTACAGTACCCTTGAGGGTTTGAGTCTTAACCGGGATACGCACCCACACTATCAGAGTGAAGCACCGGGCCACGACGTATACAAAGTCAGCCATCTAACCCACTCGGCCACTGGGGCTTTCACAAAAATCTGACAACTGGGAGTCTGAGTCAGGTACTTTGTGTACCCCTCTGACTTCGTTTGTCATAAGAATAGTTTTTTGAATACGTATTAACTACAGGTGACCAGATATCGACGGGGTGGGGGTAGAGGATGAGACAGGTGAGGGTAGCAAGTCAGTCTCCAGGAACGCTGTGCCACCCTACTCTGTTTGTACAAACTTTCTTTAAAGAATAGAAATGTGGGTGATTGAAATATGGCCTTATGGGTAATTGAATAGAAAGGTTCATACATTTCTAGTCCAGACAACTGTGCCTATAACATGTCTTTTTGGACTAATAGTTCTCTACTTTTCTGTTGTGCAGTTATATTTTCATTCAAAGTCAGAAATGATTGACTTTTATTTGAAAGTTAAAATCAAAACCCAGAGAAATATGGTTTTTTTCTGAGAAGGTCATGGGACGCTTAATAGAGTAGAAGTTACATGCATTGGTAACGAGAAAATACTTGAAATAAGTATTAAGGAGAAAATAATCGGGATTGTTTTCAAATGCTCTGTAATTGCACATGTTGGTCACAGATGAGATTGTTCTGTACTGCTGACGAAATGGGGATTTTACAGGCACTTCAAGGAATACAGTAGTCTTTTCAAGCGTTTCATCAACGTCCTTTTGAATCAGGCTGAATTTGAAATATCACCAAAATATTTACTCAATACTCGTAGGTTTAAAACTGTGTTTTAGCTAAAATGTGGTTACATCCCAACACATATGATATTTAATTTGATAAACAATATCTTTCACCGAAAATGTAAACAAAACAACCTAGTGGTGAAACCTTTGGGGGGAAGATTAAAGAAAGATGCTAGATTTTAGTGCTTTCTTTGCGGACCTTGTTTGACGTTTCTCAGCCAGTTTCCCTGGTATGCTGCGCTTGCGCTATACAAGCTCACAGCACACACACTGAACAAGGCTGGACTGTTCGCAAATCCATTGTGTCCGGTGACAGAACAGAATGAAACAAAGAGTTCAGAAACCTGTTTTTCATCTAGTGATGCCTGAAAAATAGTGTTTCCTAGGAGAAATATAATAAATATACAATGAAAGTAATATTTTTTCCGGTGGTTGAGTTGGTTGACACATGTCATGGTATCCTAATTGTGCAGGTCGGTGCTCGTGATATCCACCACTGGAATGTCTGGTCCAGGTTCGACTGGAATGTCTGGTCCAGGTTCGATTATTTATTTACGTCGCCATGTAGATGGACTATTGCAGGGTGCAACGATGACAACTCAGGGCCTTACTGAAAACCCAAGAGTTACCCGACGTATGACAAATTTGTGTTTGGCGTTTCTGTAAAATAACATCTAGAAACGGGCCTTACTGTTCGGTGGAGAATATATTCCCATCAAGATACACTATCAATCTGGGGCTGTGGGGTAGCCCAGTGGTTAAATCGTTTGCTCGTCATGCCGAAGCCCCGGGTTCGATTCCCCACATGGGTACAATGGGGCAAACCCATTTCTGGTCTCCCCCGGTGGAATATTGCTAAAATCTCCGTAAAAACATAATCACTCACTCACTCACTGTCTACAGTGATACAGGTAATGAAGTCTCGGTACATCCAATTTAATACCACATCAACATATGAAAAATAATGTTAGTATATACGGTGTTTATTAAGACATGGTGACAGAACCTTCACGATGTTGGTTCCACAACTGCCCACATTTAATGCGATGTGTAAGAATCTGTTCTACATTAATGTTTGGACTGAAGGTTCGGCGCGTGTAGGGGTGAGCCAACGACATAAATGAACTCGATAATCGTCTCTTAATGGTTTACCCAGTGTGTGTACAGGACACCCAATGTATGTTTGTGAGAGGCAGACAATAGTTTGGTGAACAAGTCAGACAATAGTTTGGTGAACAAGTCAGACAATAGGTTGGTGAACAAGTCAGACAATAGGTTGGTGAACAAGTCAGACAATAGGTTGGTGAACAAGTCAGACAATAGGTTGGTGAACAAGTCAGGTTGGTGAACAAGTCAGACAATAGGTTGGTGAACAAGTCAGACAATAGGTTGGTGACAAGTCAGACACTAGGTTGTTGAACAAGTCAGACAATAGGTTGTGAACAAGTCAGACACTAGGTTAGTGAACAAGTCAGACAATTGGTTGGTGAACAAGTCAGACAATTGGTTGGTGAACAAGTCAGACAATAGGTTGTTGAACAAGTCAGACAATAGGTTAGTGACAAGTTAGACAATAAGTTGGTGAACAAGTCAGACACTAGGTTGGTGAACAAGTGAGAGAATAGATTGGTCAACAAGTCAGACACTAGGTTGGTGAACAAGTGAGAGAATAGATTGGTCAACAAGTCAGACAATAGGTTGGTGAACAAGTTCGACAATAACTTGGTGAACAAGCCAGACAATAGGTTGGTGAGCAAGTCAGACAATAGGTCGGTGAGCTAGTCAGGCAATAGGTTGGTGAATGAGTCAGTCAATTGGTTGGTGAGTAAGTCAGACAATAGGTTGGTGAGCAAGTCAGACAATAGGTCAGTGAATGAGTCAGACAATAGGTTGGTGAGTAAGTCAAACAATTGGTTGGTGAGCAAGTCAGACAATAGGTTGGTGAACACGTCAGAAAATAGGTTGGTGAACAAGTTAGACAATAGGTTGGTGACAAGTCAGACAATAGGTCGGTGAGCTAGTCAGACAATTGGTTTGTGAGCAAGTCAGACAATTGGGTGGTGAGGAAGTTAGACAATAGGTTGTTGAGCAAGTCAGACAATGGGGTTTGAGCAAGTCAGACAATAGGTTGGTGAGCAAGTCAGACAATATGTCGGTGAATGAGTCAGACAATAGGTTGGTGACAATTGGTTGGTGAGACAATTGCTTGGTGAGCAAGTCAGACAGTAGGTTGGTGAACACGTCAGACAATAGGTTGGTGAGACAATTGGTTGGTGAGCAAGTCTGACAATAGGTCGGTGAATGAGTCAGACAATAGGTTGGTGAGTAAGTCAAACAATTGGTTGGTGAGCAAGTCAGACAATAGGTTGGTGAACACGTCAGACAATAGGTTGGTGAACAAGTGAGACAATAGGTTGGTGACAAGTTGGACAATAGGTTGGTGAGTAAGTCAAACAATTGGTTGGTGAGCAAGTCAGACAATAGGTTGGTGAACACGTCAGACAATAGGTTGGTGAACAAGTGAGAGAATAGGTTTGTCAACAAGTCAGACAATAGGTTGGTGAACAAGTTCGACAATACCTTGGTGAACAAGCCAGACAATAGGTTGGTGAGCAAGTCAGACAATTGGTTTGTGAGCAAGTCAGACAATTGGTTGGTGAGGAAGTCAGACAATAGGTTGTTGAGCAAGTCAGACAATGGGGTTTGAGCAAGTCAGACAATAGGTTGGTGAGCAAGTCAGACAATATGTCGGTGAATGAGTCAGACAATAGGTTGGTGACAATAGGTTGGTGAGACAATTGGTTGGTGAGCAAGTCAGACAGTAGGTTGGTGAACACGTCAGACAATAGGTTGGTGAGGAAGTCAGATAATAGGTCGGTGAATGTGTCAGACAATTGGTTGGTGAGCAAGTCAGACAATAGTTTGGTGAACAAGTCAGACAATAGGTTGGTGAGTAAGTCTGACAATAGGTCGGTGAATGAGTCAGACAATAGGTTGGTGAGCAAGTCAGACAATATGTCGGTGAATGAGTCAGACAATAGGTTGGTGAGCAAGTCAGACAATAGGTCGGTGAGCAAGTAAGACAATTGGTTGGTGAGCAAGTCAGACACTAGGTCG